CAAAGTCGGAATAGACAACACTGGATATGAAGATATTATGGGACGACATGGACTGGGAGAAAGAAACGAAAATGGAGAAAGATTTGCAAATTTATGTGCATTCAACAAATTGGTCATAGGAGGCACAATATTCCCACACAAGCGTATACACAAGGCTACATGGATCTCACCGAACCACACTACAGAGAACCAAATAGATCATATCTGCATCAACAAAAAATTCCGAAGGACAATGGAAGATGTGAGAACCAGGAGAGGTGCTGACGTAGCTTCAGATCACCACCTAGTTGTGGCCAATTTAAAACTGAAGCTAAAAAAGAACTGGACAAGTGGACAAACAGCAATACAAAGGTTCAATACAGCCTTCCTTCGAGATACTGACAAAATCAACGAATTCAAGATATCTCACAACAACAGGTTCCAAGCCTTACAGGATCTACTGAAGGAAGAAGAAACTACTATGGAGGACAACTGGAAAAGTATCAAGGAAGCATTAACTTCAACGTGTCAAGAGGTTCTAGGCTGCAAGAAGCATCATCACAAGGAATGGATCTCTATAGAAACACTGGACAAGTTCAAACAAAGGAAGAACAAGAAGATAGCAATTAACAACAGCCGAACACGAACAGAGAAAGTCCAAGCACAAGCTGAATACATAGAAGTAAACAAGCAACTGAGGAAAAGCATTAGAGCCGACAAGCAGAAATACGCGGAAGAACCAGCAACGACGGCAGAAAAAGCTGCTAGAGAAGGACATATGAAACAGCTTCACGATACAACGAAGAAACTAGCAGGGAAATACAGTGAACCAGAGAGGCCGGTCAAACACAAAGAAGGCAAGCCAATCACCGAAATTCAACAACAGCGTAACAGGTGGGTAGAATACTTCGAGGAACTCCTGAATAGGCCGGCTCCAATAAATCCACCGGACATCGAAGCAGCACACATAGATCTTCCTATAGATGTCAACCCACCAACGACGGAAGAAATAAAAATGGCCGTCAGAAAAATCAAGAACGGGAAAGCAGCAGGACCCGACAACATACCAGCTGAAGCACTGAAATCAGACATCGAAGTAACTAGAAAGATATTTTACCTTCTATTCAAAAAGATTTGGGAGGGGGAACATGTGCCGATGGACTGGAAAGAGGGACACCTCATCAAGATTGCAAAGAAAGGATACCTGGGCGAATGTGAAAACTACAGAGGAATCACACTACTGTCAGTACCAGGGAAAGTCTTTGACATAGTTTTGCTGAACCGGATGAAAGGTGCAGTAGACGCCCAACTTCGAGATCAACAAGCTGGATTCCGTAAGGACAGGTCGTGCATAGACCGAATCACGATACTGCGGATCATGGTCGAACAATCAATTGAGTGGAACTCGTCATTGTACACCAACTTCATTGATTATGAAAAGGCATTTGACAGTGTAGATGAGAGAACGTTATGGAAACTTCTTCGACACTACGGAGTTCCTGAGAAGATTGTCAATATTATCCGGAACTCATACGACGGACTACAGTGCAAAGTAGTGCATGGAGGACAGCTGACAGACGCATTCTAAGTAGGAACCGGAGTCAGACAAGTCTGTCTACTCTCTCCCTTCCTCTTTCTTCTGGTGGTCGACTGGATTATGAAGACCACGACATCTGAAGGAAAACACGGAATACAATGGACAGCTCAGAATCAATTAGACGATTAGGATTTCTCAGATGACCTAGCCCTCCTATCGCATACACATGAACAAATGCAGATAAAGACAACCAGTGTAGCAGCAGTCTCTGCATCAGTGGGCCTCAAAATACACAAGGGGAAAACCAAGGTCCTCAAATTCAAAACTCAGAAATGCAATCCAATCACTCTTGATGGCGAAACTCTGGACGATGTAGAATCCTTCACATACCTGGGAAGCATCATCGATGAACAAGGAGGTTCAGATGCAGACGTAAAGGCGAGGATTGACAAAGCAAGGACAGCATTCCTACAGTTGAAGAACATATGGAACTCAAAACAACTTTCAACCAATATCAAAGTGAGAATCTTCAATACCAACGTCAAGGCAGTCCTACTGTATGGAGCTGAAACGTGGAGAACTACAACAACCACCATCAAGAAGGTGCAAGTATTTATGAATGGTTGTCTACGCAAGATACTCAACATCCATTGGCCGGATACCATCAGCAACAGCCTTCTGTGGGAGAGAACAAATCAGCTTCCAGCTGAAGAGGAAATTAGGAAAAGACGATGGAAATGGATAGGACATACACTACGCAAATCGTCAAACTGCATCACGAGACAAGCCCTAACTTGGAATCCTGAAGGAAGGCGGAAAAGAGGAAGGCCAAAGAACACATTACGTCGGGAAATAGAAGCAGATATGAAAAGGATGAATAACAACTGGAAGGAGCTGGAAAGGATTGCCCAGGACGGGGTTGGATGGAGAATTCTGGTGAGCGGCCTATGCTCCTTCACGAGGAGTAACAGGCGTAAGTAATGTAAGTAAGTATGACCAGTTTATTGAAGGCACATAGGTTTGCAAACCTCTCACCATTTTCGTTCCATTCTCCCAGTCCGTGTCGTCCCATGATGTTCTCATATCCGGTGTTGTCCATTCCAATCTTGGCTTTGAAATCTCCCATCAGAATGGTCAGTTCCTTTGTTGGGCACTATTCGATGATTGACTGCAGCCTATTGTAGAATTGATCTTTAGCTTCTTCATTGTAGTTGTTGGTAGGCGCATAGCATTGGATGATGTTCATTGAAATGCCCTCTTTCTTTGTTTTGAACGAGGCTTTGATGATCCTTGGTCCATGAGATTCTCATCCTATAAGTGTCTTTTGTGCGTGTTTGGACAGCATCAATGCAACTCCTTGTGTATGCGGAGCATTTTTTCATCATGGCCGGAGTATAACAGAAGCTTCCGTGAAGCTAGTCGTTGTTGTCCGACTTGCGTCCAACGTGTTTCATTGGTCCTAAGCACCTCTAGGTTGTATCTACTCAATTCTGCATCAATTTGGAAGACTCTCCCGGTCTCCCATATTGTACGAGCATTCCATGTACCTAAATAAATGGTCGTTCTGGTTGTCAGAAGGGGCATCGGCCTTGTGACTTTTGAAGGAACTCGGCTTACATCATAAGGCGTCATAACTCTTCTAACTGAAGACCTTCTGACTCCCAGGGCAGAGTTTAAAAGGTTTGGGTAATTTTTTCTGGTTAGCGTTTTTTTAACGAGTTAGTTTTCTACGGGATGGGGTCGTTAACCCCATGCCCAACCCTCCTCCTTTATCCGGGCTTGGGACCGACAGTAGCCTCCAGAGGGACTCCAGGCTTAGTTTATACTGTGCTAATCCAGTAATATTTAGATGGTGACTTTAGTAAATAGGATAACATGAGTCAGTTAAATGAGAATCATGTGAAAAGTTCACGATGTGAAAATAAATGACTGAATGAATTGTGTGTATGTATGTGTAAGATTGAGTTATTAACAGTTGATAAAAGTGCAAGTTGGAGATTGAAAAACTGTTTCTGAATGATCAATGCGTATGTAAAGTGAAAATTACCAAATACATAATTGTATTGCTAAAATAATCCACATTAATTTCGGTTTGAATAACGATGCATGTGAAATAAATAGGTTGGATAGAGAAAGGGTCTAATTACTTGTTAACGAATATTTGTCAAGTAGTTGCTAGCTGAATACCATCTTTCTGTTCAGGCTGTTCTTGTTCGCACATATATACAGCGCTTCTGTTGTCAATGTTTCTGTGTGTGTTAAAACCTTTCTGTAGTATTTTGGTCCTCTCAAAATTGATCTTGTGTCCTGTTTCCAACGCATGTGACGCTATCGCAAACTTATTCTCAAGTTTCTTTAGATCAACAGAGGATTTGGGAACATTTTTCTAACACTGTTTATGTTCCTCCAACCTTACATTTAATTGTCTGGAAGTCTCTCCTACATAAGCTGCATTACAATTATGACATTTGATCTCATAGGTAATATTTTATTGTTCTTCTTTTACTATTCTCAATATTATTTATATTTAAGCCAGTACAATTGTAGCATTTTTCCTTAACTTATTTGTTATATGATGTATTTGTCTTCTGTTAAATAATACTTTTGTGGGAAAATGATATCTGAAATAATCTCGGTGATTAAAATTTAAAGTAATTCGAACGTTGAGATCGCTGAGATTATTTCAAATGTAATTTCCACATATAATGACTAATCTATACTCGGCGCCCAATTTTTGCCAAACTAACTATAATGACTGTCCTAATTTAACCTTTATCGACTGTAAGATTTTACTGGTTTCAGCCCTAAGTTTATTAAGCGCTGTCTTACTTTTCGTTTCCTTAATTAGTTCATATCGGTCCTCTTGTAGATGTTCCCTGGCTTTTTTCTCGTAGTCTGATTTGTTCATAATAACTGTCGTGTTCCCTTTTATTTATAATCCAAAATAAGACTTTTATTTATAGATCCGATGACTTGTTTATTAGCTGTTAATTCAAGAGTATATCTTACATAGATACCTTCCAAAAGCCAATACAATAATTAATTTCTAATAAGAAAACAGTTCTATTTATTTTAAGCGACGATTATGATCATTATAATCAATTAAATCAGTAATCTTACATAAAAATATATACATTCATTCTCATCTTATTATTTGAAAGAACAATCATCTATTCCATTCGAATTATACACAAGAACTCTTAAAACAAGTTCAATGAAATGCTAACTAAAGTTAACATAAAGCAAACAATCTATTTTACAGATTATATAGTATATTTTGATTCATATTCTCCAATAAACACTAAACATATTTGCATAGTATTATTAAATGTTTAGAATTCTTTGATAGTAACTTTATTCTGAATAGGTAATCAAAAACTCAGTTACTAAAGAACATAAACATGATATTACCACTTCTCAACAATTATCATCATTTCCTGAAACGCATAAAATCACATGAAATAATAGATGTTAAAATTATTATTATTATTATTATTATTATTATTATCAGTATTATTATCACCCTGTAAAAATAAGTATATATATTTGCGATTGTACAGCTTTGAAAATGAATTCGCCGAAAAGACAACTCTTCGCTGAACTAATCTTTCTTTCTTATTTAATGTCATAATAGGTGTATTCCGTTTGTTAAAATAATCGTCTTCGTACAAAAGTTGTAAAGATAATAAAATATGTATATATGGTAATATATGAAACAAGTAATCATCACTACAGTTTTGAGAATTTTACCATAATTTGTTAAAATATAAAGTGAGAAATGTGTAACAGAATTCTTAATTTCAGCAGTCAATATTAAAAGAACACAAAACAAAAGATTATAAAGGAAATGAATAGATTACATTGAAATATCACAAAAATTTTAATAATGATATGTACATTATATTAGATGATGTGAAATATTTAACGAAAGTTTATTACAGATTGAATTGTACGATTAGAAGAAATTATTTAGATAATACTTAAGCGTTGGTGTTTCCAAGATACTTTACTTTAACGATAAAAGATAAACAGGTTCTATTATTATCATTATTATTTTACATGTGCTTGTATCAAAAAACAAAGGTATTTTTCTATTTATTCTCAACCTGTGAATGAAATGGCAATATATAATTAATTGTGTTATTGTGTGTTATTTGTCATGTAATTGACAATTTAATCATAACATTAAATTAATAGAAATAATTAACCATTAAGTAAGTTCAAAAGCAGTGAAATAGATGCTTTAGTAAATACATTTTGGTGAAAAAATGTACTTGTTGAATGACCACTGGTAAAAATTTTCACAGTCAGTAAATGTATCAGGGTTATCGACAAACTTCGGTATCAAATGTTTCTTATATCCTAATTTTGTTTATTCTCTTTCTTTCAAGTGTACAGAAAAGTTTCCAAATCTTTTGAAAAGAAAAATGATGAACTCATTTTCGATAAACACTTCGTTTGAATTTGAAAATCAATGTGATTGTATAAAATTATTAAAATCACGGTTCAAATATTGAACTGTTTAACAAAATCATATCAATGTGGTTTATTTCAAATGAGTAACATTAATACAATATATTTTTGCAAACATTCCAAAGTGTTGATAAAAGCATGCTCAATATACAAATCATTTGAAATTATCACATTGTTCCTTTCTAGTCACACTGATAAATCCTCATGAACAGTTTGGATCTATCGGGACAAACAACTGAATAGGACTAGTAGTTAATTTGTATTTCAATAGAGGTATAACGTTTAACAATATCAGAATTGTATAAAAGCAGTGCCAAACGTTTGGACATCCTTCTATTAACTCAGATTTTAATCTAATAAACTTGCTCGATAGAATTCGGTCAGGATGAAGAAGTACATATTAATTAATACTTAGTTATAAGAACCACTGTACGTACCTCAGTCTTAAAGAAAGCCAATCGTGATACAGATAACTCATTATTAACATTTCTGACTGTAATAATGTTTAACACGTCTAAATTTTATTGAGTACAAAAATTCCTTCCGACTAACGACACACCATACTGATAAGCGAAAAGTAGTATATATATATATATATATATATATATATATATATATATATATATATATATATATATATATGTACTACTACTACTGTCGTGTATGTTACTTATGCTTACAGATATATGTTGTATGTATCAACATTCGGAAGTGAAATGCCTGAGAGCAGAACGTTGAGGAAATTGAAATGAAAAGAAGAGTGAAGAAAACTAAAAGCAATCAGAATAATAGCAGGAATGAATGAACGATGAATTTTATAAGAGACGACTTATGGTAGATGTGCATATGATGTATTTAATGAATGATTTTCATGTTTTTGCTAGGTAACTGTGTAATTGTGCATTAAACAATAAATCTGCTTTCCCTACCAAATCTCGCTCGCTACTGTGCTACCAATACTACTCTATATTAACCAATCACTTAAAATATGTATGAACATCAGTGCAATACATGGAGGAAGCAAACATGTATTTATCACACTAATTTTTTTGAAATCAGACAGTCAAATAAACACACATTACTTCTTAGTGATACTCAAGAACTATCTATCTATAAAGTATTTCTATGATCTTTAACTTCAGAAATAAATTAAATTAGCTTTTTAATATTCATAGTTTCCTGTGAGAATACAGAATGACAATTCTCACTACTTCTAGAAAAAACACAAGCCATCCGAAAAACACGTATTTAACAATATAGTCAGTAACTCAATTGTCTTCTTTAATCCATCCTCCAGTTTGTTCTTACTTCGATCAATAAATGCCTAATTTTTTCATATGCTTACAACCACTTTATTTTTTATATGAAGATTTGATTTTCTTTCCAATGTTTCTTTTTTGATTTTCATATATTAATTTAAATGAAGAAATAGGCTGTCAATTTAACAGAGATTCAAATGTGATATAATAAAAATTTTCCCAAACAACAAAAAATATCATGTTTCTGAAAGCTTAGATACAACCTACTTTTATATCAAATTAATTCTGGTTGTTAGGATGTATATAAATGGAAATCCAATAAAGTAGGCCATTGTACATTGATTTCGACTGAGTTACATTATACTTCAAGCTGTTCAATCCATCGCTTTTAAATCGACGCTCTGAAGTTTCCAACAACTTGAAACTAGATGCATTTGAATGTTGGAACATTTGTTAAAAACAAAAAACGTAAGTTCATTACTTCAGTTACTATGTTTAGATTTTAATAGTTGAAAACTATATATAATAAATCTGATGAGCTAAACTAACCATAATCTTTAAATCTTAGTCATTACGGTAACCATTGATAATTAATTCCTGAAAAGTATTCAATCTTCATTTAAAATATATAATTGCGTTATTACCTCTTACCAGAGAAATCTTATTAGTGAACTGAAAGAGAAAAAGTCACTGCTATTTTTAATTTCACAACTTAAACATTTTTTTCGATTCATTTAGTCAACTTGCACAAAACTAATGATTTTTGCATGTATAACCAGTGGATTTCGAATAGTTAACCAAAAATGCATCATTAAGTTAGAAGAAAACAAATAATCCTAGAATCATACTACTCAATTTATCATATAACAAAATATTAGTTGACTTTACTTCTAAAACTAAGCTCTACAACATTCTATTCTCCCATTTTACATGCATTGACAGGTATTCCTCTGTTTCAAAATAAATAGGTTAATGCCAAGTAGGATTAATTCAAACGGAAGATGTCGAATAAGGTATATACCTTAGGCAATTTAATACGTAATCATAGCAAAAACGGATGCAGTTAGGAAACAAACACAATGAAGTTAAATTGTAATCCAATGAACCATAATAATATTATCAGATAAACATTAACTATCCAACTCAACAGATGAGGACTTGGATCGAGTAAGAAACTATGCAGCATTTAGGAGAAAAAAATGCAAGGATTGTATCTGTGTTACTGTGATTGATTACAAATCATATCAGTCACATATTGTCTTCAGTAATCAATGCTTTTTTAACCTAAAAGAATTCATTCACCATGTTTGAAACTCTATATCAGATGGAATATAATGGTTCTATGAAATCTAGATAAAAGGCTAATCTCAAAAACTTTAAGCTAAAAACAATTATCTCTGACAATAAACTAATGATAATATCAAACATAATTGGTTATGATTAATCTTGTTGATGAATGATAGTTAGTAGAGCGTCTAATGAATATCCATGATCTTGATAAATCCAATTTGTTAAATTCGATGTTTTCTTACGATTTCAATTATCACATAATTATTAGTTTATATGAAAAATATTATGCCTATTTTAATTATATGACTCAGAGAACATGACATTGTCAGCAACAAAAAAAAATCGATTATATATATATATATATACCCAAAAATAAAATTTACTAACAACACACCGATCTAGATTCTTTTCATTTAATTCATCTGTCTTATGACTCATTGCATAATAACGACCAATCAATAAATTGATTCGACTTAAATTATAACCAGATTGTTCAACACGTAATAGAAGATCATCATCTTCACCACCCCATCCTTCATATAAATTTGAAAAACCATTAATTTTAAGATATTGATCACGAGTGAATGTAACAACACCACCAAAAAATCTTTGATAAATTAATCTGTAAATATAAACATAAATAATTCAGAACTCATAAAAATGAAAACTTAAAATGAAAATAGTAAATTTACATTTTATGAGTTAGATTTTATGCATTTTAACAGTGAAATTAACATACATCTTTAAATTGTTGTATAAACCTCCTCTTGAAGCTCATCTAGGGTTATGATTAATTCTAAGCACAGATAAGCAAGGAGAATTAGTCTTGTGATCAGCAATTCTACCCCGTAGAAAACAACCATACAATACACTTCTAACCAAAGAAAACAATTTGTACAATCCAACCTCTAACCTGGAAGTTGAAGGATTTTCATTTACAAGAATTATAACATCTCATGGTGAAAGTCGAAATTCTTTGGAAATCACAAGGCTGTTCTCCTTTCTTCTAAACAAAGTAACGATTAACATCGGTAAATGCAATGTCCGGATAATATAGGAACCTGGGGTGGTGGTGGTCAAATAGCTGTGTAAATGAAAAGATACAACTTAACAATTCTCTCAATAAGTGAAAACTATTGGACACAAACTGGCTAGAATAGATTATATTCAGGAGAGATGCTGTAGTACACGGGCAGACACAGAAGCAAACAAGAGAGTGAAGAGGAGCATTAGAGCTGACAAGTAAAAGTACGTGAAAGAGCTAGCAACGATAGCGGAAAATACTGCAAGAGAAGGAAATATGAAAGAACTATGTCAGACAACGAAGAAACTAGTAGGAAAATTTAGTAACCAAAAAGATCGGTAAAAGACAAAGAAGTCAAGACAATCACTGAGATTGAAAAGCAATTGGACAGGTGAGCAGAGCAATTTGCAGAACTCATAAAAAGATCAGCACTACTGAACCTATTGGACATCGAAGCAGAACATACAGACCTTCTTATAGATGTCACTCCACCAACGATCGAAGAAATCAGGATGGCTATGAGACAGATCAAGAATGGGAAAGCAACAGGATCAGATGACATGCCAGATAAAGCACTGAAGTCAGACACAGGGGTAACTGCAAACATGCTTCACTTTCTAATCAAGAAGACTTGGGAGGATGAAGAAGTACCGACAGATTGGAAAGAAGAATAACAGGCATATTATTATGCTGAAAAAAGGAGATCACAGAAAGTGTGAGAAATACAGAGGCACCACACCATTATCGGTATAAGGACGAGTTTCCAACAGAGTATTGTTGAAGTGAATGAAAGACTTAGTAGACTCTCAACTTCGAGATCAATAGAGTGAATTTCGAAGGGATCGATCGTGTACAGACCGAATCACAACACTACGGATGATTGTTGAGCAATCAGTTGAGTGGAGTTTGTCACTATACTTCGGCTCTCTTGACTACGAGAAAGCGTTTGACAGTGTGTATAGGAGAATTTTATGGACCCTTACTCGACACTGTGGTGTACATAAGAACATTGTAGATATCATCGGGAATTCGCGCGACAGACTACACTGCGAAGTGGTGCATCTAGGACAACCGACAGATGCATTGGAAATGAGGACTGGTGTCAGACAAAGCTGTCTGCTCCCCCCCTTTCTTTTTCTTCTGGTGGTTGATTGAATTATGAAGACCTACACATTTCAGCTGAAGCACGGAATACAATGATCAACTTGGATGAATCTAGATGGATGGACTTGACAGTTGATCCAATTTTTCTATTCCAAACACACCAACAAATTCAGGTTAAGACAACTAGTGTAGCGGCATCTTCTGTAGCAGTAAGCCTCAGCATACACGAAGGAATAAATGAGTTCCTCAAACACACCACAGAGGACACAAATTCAGTCACACATGATGGAAAAGCTCTGACATATGTGGAATCTTTCACGTATCTGGTCAACAGCATAATCGATGAAGGAGGAAGACCGGATGCAGGCGTAAAGACGAGGATTGGCAAATCAATGGCCAATGGTGCATGGAGGACAGCTGACTGATGCATTGCAAGTGAGGACTGTATTCTAACACGACTAACTACGCTCTCCCTTTCTCCATCTTCTTGTGGTCGACTGGACTACGAAGACGTTTATATTTCAGGGGAAACCCGGATACAATGGACACCTTGGATGAGACTAGACGATTTGGACTTGACAGATTACTCGACTCTTCTATCCCAAACACACCAAGAACTACAGGTGAAGACTGCCAGTGTAGCACCAACCTCTATAGCAGTAAGCCTCAGCATACACAAGGGAAAATGCAAGATCCTCAAATACGAAACTGAGAACACTAATCCAATCATACTTGATGGGGAAGCTCTGAAAAAGGTGTAAACTTTCACGTCCCTGGTCAGCATCATTATCAATGAAAAAGAAGGATCCGATGCTAATGTAAGGGCACGGATCGGCAAAGCATCTATAGCTTCACTACAATCAAAGAACATGTGCAACTCAAACAACTGTCAGCCAACAGGGAAGTCTCACTCCAATGCATACGTCATGTCAGTTCTATTGTGCGGAGCTGACATTTGGAGAACTAATACAACCATCTGATCAATTCAGTTGCCAAGTCAGTTCTGTTTTACAAACTGACACTGATACAGATTTTTTTCAAATTATAAAGGTACTCACTAAATAAACATTTAAATGACTGTTATCATGTTTATTATGTGTCGATTTCTTTCAACTGAGGAATATAATGAGACATATTGACTTCTCAGTCTTGCTGGTCGATTTCTTTCTCGACTGATGTGGAGAATGGTAGACTGTTGAATACCCTCATTACATAGTTTAATGATATAAAGCAAATGAATGAAGATAAATCAGAACTAAAAGCAATTGTTCAGCCAAGAATTATAGTTTTTTTAGTGAGGTAACATAAAGACGTCTTAATAAATTTGGAGCATGAATAACAGTGAAATACAGTAAGTGAGTTTAATCCCATTTGGAACTCATCAACAGTATATAACTGGATCGTGATGTTCATCCAAATCCTTAAAATCAAATTCATTTTATTTATTTACTTATTTGAACACATAAATATTGATACAAAGGAGCACCAAATACATATGTGCTACACAAGAACAATGAGAATGTGAAGAAATGGAAAATGTAAAGTGCGTGTAAGAAAAAAGAAGCAGCTTTCTTTATGTCTAACAGAACTATATCTTTAGCATAAATTGTACCTAAATGGCAATAGTAGTATATGTTGCTTTAGCAATATCACCAGAGCTAATGAACTGAAATTATAGCTTTATTGAGAGGATATACTGATAAAATAACATGGAAGTCAGTAGCAAATGGTTTGATTGAAAGTGTTGTCGTTAAATTTATCTGTATCACTACATGATTTACACAAGAAAGAATTTTACGAATCACTTTATATGAGATGCTTAAACACTTTAAGAAAGCGGCATGAATTCCTTCCTTTAAGAATAAACTATATACATATTTGAACTTTTATACTTGGCTTTCTTTGGAGCCTGAGTCCCAAAATCTCAAATCATTTTTATATGATTTATCCTTTCTATTACTACTGATACTTTTACTACTTCTAATACACTGAGACTTGTCTTGATAATTTATTTCGCTGTGCTAAATTGCTATGTCACATTGAACTGATGCACATATCTGTCAGGTTTTATGTTGAAAATGATTACTGACTAATTAAATTTTCACACGCATGCCATCTTGTTTAGAAAATGATCAGTAAATCGTGTCCTAAAAATCAGCCAAATAAACAATATAGCTTATTAATCTTTTATTGTAAAACAACCACTGTTGACTTTAACTAGGAAATACGCAAATGTTATTCATTATATATTTCTGAGCTTCCTTACATCACGTTCAGCTGAATAAAAGCCTTATTGTTTAAAAGCGACAGGTCGGGTAGAAATGAAGATGTGGACAAGGGATTAATTGAGTAACAAGAGTAAATATATTTAGTTAACTGTAAACGTGAATAGTGAACAGCAGCTAACAGTGTGCCAGAAAGTAGATTCTGTAGGTTGCGTAGATGAGTGCAGAGTACATCCTGATTGATCAATCAGTTTTATACAATCCAATATTTGTATAAGTCTAACTGCATCCCATCCATCAATTTGCAATGTAGCAACGTTTCTAACTGATTTGACTTTGAATTCATCAAGTCTAAAAGTTTAATGATGACCGAAGTTAATCAGAACTCTTATTTGGTGCTTTTAGCCTTACTATTATACAAATGACCTATCTGACATAGCGGAACGTCAAATATCAAGTGTTTCAGGCATTGTAGATCGATTTAGCCGTCAGAATAGACGAACTTGACTATAATTATCAACGTAGTTTCGAGTGAATACAACCTAAAACCAATGATTTCTAATTATCTTCAACCATCTGAAACGCATGCATCAGTATTTTTTTAATTTCACACATGTTCTTACAACAGAATATTGAAAAGAAATTATTCAAAATAGAACTAACTTGTAGTTAAAAGTACTTAATGAAGCTGACAAATGTGTTGGATTTGGTCCACATGTATAAATAATTCGATCATCTTCTGGTAGTTTATCTACATCATGTAAAATGAAACAGTCATATTCTTTGAATTTGGAAACTTCAAGAAAACCAGCATTTAATAAAGCACCACGATTAAATTTCGTTTCACCGGTCTGAAAAGTCAATAATATGTATGTCTTTAGTTTAAAGATTGTTAGTAACTAACAGACAAAGGAATTATAATGTAGCTTTTGAAAAGCTGTTCAGAAAATTACTTGATCTAGGCACTTGTGATCAGATAAACAATGAGTCCCTGTATATTTTTGAAACGGGACATAGGCTTTCTGAGTCGATAAATCATTTGTAACAGACTTATTGATATATTTTATTAATATCTAAACTGATTGGTGATTGAATACTTTTCTCAACTTTTGAAAGAAAACTAGTTTCATGTCTAACAACCAAAGTAGCTCGTACGTTACAAAATAATAAAGTTCATTTAACTTTAGTGATTTAACTAAAATCTAGAAAATGAATATATTTGCACTCAGTAAGAACGACAATACTTGCAAAATACAGTGAATTCAATGTATTCCATTGCTTTCTATTTAACTATATATAGGTTAATATTATTTAATTATTTATAATCATTAACAAAATTTTCAATCTGATAAATGAATTGTCAATAATGAATGAATTATTTTAAATATAGAAAGATTAAGATCTAAACGTCCCAACTTTTTACTCCGAAAAGAAACAGGTTTTTGTTCATCTGCTATCAAATCATGAATAAAATTAACCAGACTAAGAACAGAATTAAAAAACGTATTCTCCACTGAGAAACCGATCTCATTGTACACAACATGATACTCAGTAACGCAAACGAAAGAAGGCAAGTATCGAATATCTGCCACCTTTAAATGAATATAACGTATATGCTCATACAAAAGCATAAACCTCGGATGAACATAAAAGCAGGGCTCAACTCGTCTTATTGAACATATTCCTGGTAATCTTATCCTTCAAGGACAAGACAGTTTTCATAGTTAGATAGCATATCACCTTCAAGACACGGAGCATAACGTTGACGAAATTAATGTATTATATTAAAATTCACGGAGGCCATAGCAATCAGTTGGTTTAATTCTGGCCTCTGTATTAAAAGTCAGTGGTTAACTTTCAACTGTTTTAATAAAAGAATCGAAATAAGCATTTCGTCACTTATTTCCCGCTTTTAACTGATTGTAATCATAAACGAGTGATGTACACTTCCATGAACAAATCCTTCTCGTTTTACATAATACTGTCTCAATTATTCTAGAACTGTCACTTTAAATAATGATGAAAAACCTGTTGTGAAAGTTTTATTCTTAATTATTTCTTTACATTTAGAATAATCTATTCAATTAAAGACAATTTATTTATGAGATTGAGCACTTTGTTAATGATTATAAATAATTATATAATATTAACCTTTTCATAGTTAAATAGTAAGCAATGGAATACATTGAATTCACTATATTTTATGGGTCTTACCATTCTTATTTTGTTCGAATATTGTACGACAAATAAATTGTGTGTAAATATACTGTTGACTTAGTTTTGTATAATATGTAGATTTTTTTAGTGGCCCTTAATCTGCTGACTCCAGGTTGATCATGTAAATGATTGTTATCGAAACAATACATATCGCCAATCCCTGTATATTATTATCGACTTCACTCGCATTAGTGAATAACAGAATTAAATAAGTAAAATACGAGAATGGATTTTGATTATGTATATTTCATGTACTCAGTGATTTGAATAGGTAATCAGGGAGATGAAAAGAAGAACGAAGAAGATTGGAGAAGGCTTGTGAGCCAACTCAACAGAGTGTAAATCAATATTTATTGTCAGAACAAAAATAAGCTACAGACATATGATGAGTGGGATAAGCAATCAACACATATACGATCACGTAAAAACAGTTCGAGTTAATAAGCGAATAATTAACGAGGTCAAAGTATGACTCAAGAAGAATGAATACATTGGCCTGTTCAGAAGCTAGAATAAGCTATGTGGGCTTAACATAGCAGCCGACACTACAATTTATAAGGACATATGTAGCATTTAGAAGTTCGAAACAAATAATCCTAAGTCATAAGCTTGTTCATGGACTAGTTTTCAATAGAATTCGCTTCATTTGAAATCTTGTCATCAAAAGTACTTGTTTAGACTTTGAAATACTTTGGCAATGAAAACATAAATAATATGGACGCCTTTCATGTATTAAACAAAACTCAAAAGACAGATCCTATAAAATATAGTATCTGAGTCTTTACCACTTACCTGTTCAATAATAAAAATGGTATATGGTATTCTTTGGTGTCGTAAAAATCCATGTAAATGATCTGTTAACACTCGTAAATGTTGTTCTCTTTTACGATAAGGAATAATTATAGCCGATGACAGGCTAGGTAAACAACCTAATGGAGACCATATAATTGGTAAGGTATAATTGATAGTGTGATTTTTCTTATCAATAACATATCTTAAACTATTACTTGATTCAGCATAACTATTTATTTTTGTGGCATTATACTTAGTGTAAAGTGATCCAAATATTTGTTGTGGAATGAAATTTTTCAGTGACGAATCCGGTGAAATAAAATCTATTGATTGAGATAATGTATATTTATATTGTATCTGTGGCCAAAATAATGCTTTACTAGGCGTTTTCACGTGACCAACTGAAGTATAAAAAAAATACAAAGTGAAATCGAAAAAACTTTTATTTTTTCGAAAATTTAAACTTCAATTTTAGATGTTTGTCATTTGAAAAATTTATTCAACATGAATTGATCATGTCAACTAAGAAGAAAACACTACCCAATGTTCACTTGCATAAACTACCATTCCAGATGAATTCGTTCTATGATAAAAACCAATCTCCAGATTATGAATATTTTTCAAGATCAGGAATTATCATTTACAAATATCTATACAGTATGATAGTAATCTACGTTGTCAACATTTTATTGCTGTAGGTAACTTATGAAATGACTATTTCTTCTTAAAACTATCTACGCATTACTGAAGCACGTATGTAATCACTGAACAAAATGATTAGTGTTCAATCAATTTATTAATGTTCATTCAAGTTAATGTTAGGTCTGTTGTACGTTCTCTATCCTTGTTCAATCCCTGTCGACCCTTTTGTGTATTGTTTTATACTACTTATTAATATTGAGTAAACAATTGTTTTCCCAAAAACTACGCGTATGTTGTAACGCAAGTTTGTCGTGTAATATTCCAAAATATTTACATATGCTTATAACATTTATTGTGTTTATCATTAAAATTACTTTCTCTCAATCCTTGTAGCAGTTATTTGCAATTTTGTGCAATCACTGTTCAAACGCAACAGTTTCCATATTGTTTGCTATCGGTTCAGCTTTTTCCTGTTGCTAAACTGTTACCAAGTTTAGACACAGCTAACAGCTGTCATTTGCACTATCGTATGTTATAATTATTCTTTATGTAATTAATGGAAGAAGCCTTTTTTCCAGACTTACAGATCCGGTAAGCGCCACAGATACCTCACAAATTAAGGTTTGCAACTAATTTATGTATATTATTCAATAAAACATCGCTTTTTTTTAGACAACTCGTTGATTTGTGAATTTCGATTTCACGTGTATCTCAATTGGGTGGACCAGACGCTTAGATAGATTTAACAGTTAAACTAATAAAAATGTGAAAACATTTGGAAATAAGGGGTTTTTAAGATAATAATTTGAAAATACCTATGAAAACAACTTGCCTTGTGTATATTTTAATCTGCGACATCGTAACTACAAATCAAAAATAAAGTGAGGTAATTCGACATGTGCTACAAAGATGGTTGATTCAAATGCTTTTCTATATGAAAATCGTATGTCGAATACACTGAACTTTAGAATATGACCATAATTTTAAGATTACCAAATTCATTTTAAACAATTGCTAATGAGATTTTCCCTAACTTACTTAAATACATACTTACTTACGCCTGTTACCTTTCGTGGAGGAGCATAGGTCGCCAACCAGGATTCTTCATCCAATTCTGCCCTGGACAATCCTTCTCAGTTGTTTCCAGTTGCTAATCATCCTTTTGATGTTTGCATCCAATTTTCGGCACAGTGTGTTCTTTGGTCTTCCTCTCTTACACTTTCCTTCGCGATTCCAAGTTAACACTCGCCTCGTGATATAGTGAGGTAATTTCCTCAATATGTGTCCTATCAACTTGCAAAATCTTTTCTTAATTCCCACTTCAGCTGGAACCTGGTTTGTTCTCTCTCAAAGTTGCTTGTTGCTGATGGTATCTCGTCAAAGGGCAATGAGTATCTTACGTAGACAATTGTTTATAAATACCTGTACTTTATTGATGGTGGTCGTACAATAGAACTATCTGGACGTTAGTATTGAAGTTTCTGACTTTAACATTAGTTGATAGTTGTTTCTATTTCCATATGTTCTTCAGCTGTAGGAATTCTATCTTTGCTTTGCTAATCCTCGCCTTTACGGCTGCATCAGTTTCTTCACGTACATCGTTGATACTGACCAGATATGTGAATGTTTCCACCTCTTCCAGAGCTTCTCCATCAAGTGTGATTGTGTTGGTGTTCTCTGTGTTGTATTTCATCATCTTGTTTTATCCCTTGTGTATGTTGAGGCCTACTGCTATAGAGGTTGGTGCTACAATGACAGTCTTCACCTGCATTTGTTTATGTGTACGAGATAGAAGGGCCAGGTCATCTAATTTTTTTAAAAAAAAACTTTTCAAAAAAAACGATGTCTGCACGATTATTAATTAATCGTATTTTAATAAAAAACACACATGACATAATTCCTTACTGATGTGTTCATTATTTTTTCAAAAAAGAACAAACTGAATTGTTATCATGAAACGTTTAACAGGATGTGTGAAATTCATATTTTACTTTAATGTGTAACCGTTTATTCACTTTTAAAATTACTGTATAAATTTATAAATCAGTGCATAATTTGATGTGTTTCTTCAAGTAGCCAAATACAAATAAGCCATACAGAAGGTCATTCAAAAAATTGTCAACCACTTACATGAATATACATCACCTGGACGAAACAGTCAACAGAAACATGCTACAAACCTGAAAAGTCATACAGTCAGAAGAAGAGTCACTAGAAGTGACTAACTTAACCCTTGTGTAATATTTAGAAAGAGCTAATAATACTGTTCATAATGACAACGATAGCTTTGTAATTCAAACCATTTAGGTTATAGAATTTAAAACTACCAATAGCATTTACTTTAACCTCTGCGTCATGTTGGAAATCTATATCTTTATTATTATGCATTCGTCACTTGGATATCATCTATGTGTCCAGATGGTAAAGGATCATTAAAAAAATTAATAGGACTTAAACTTGTAGAAAAAATCTTTAATCACATATTGCTGTTAATTAGTTGAAAACTATCAATAAAAACTTTAATTGAACTCAGTTTTATGTTAGTTAAAACTCTTCATCATCTGCGATATTGAGAAAAGTGTCAGTTTCTGTGACAATCAATCATGTTTCACTTAAATTCACAAGCAAACCCGTTACAACTAAGCAGTTTCGGACACGACTGAGATTTTAATGCTTATTCATCACTGAAGTGCATTCATTATTACGCCTATCCAATCTTTACATTAGCCTTAAACACAAGTGCCTACATATTTATGATTATCTCATTTCATTGTTTTGGTTAGAAGACATTAAGAAGCAAATGAAGAACGAAGAAGATTATTACACTGTTAAAAGTTCGGCTTTCCAGATGTTGAGTACAAACATTAAATTTTGATAGGAGTTATTATTTGATTTATGAGTTTAAAACAAAGAAAATATTGGAATCAACTCCATAGATTAGTTATTTCAGAATATATATATATATATATATATATATATATATATATATATATATATATGGAAAAACTTATTTTTAATCAGAATCAACTATAAGTTTATAATGTCAGAATCGTTCGTTTGATTTTAGAAGATAGATCACCCCATCAAAGTAGGGTTTAATTTGTTAGTTCAAAGTGACTGGATGGAAAACTTGGACCTACGTTTCTACCGTGATCAATATAATTCGATAAGCATAAAGCATTAGACAAACACCACACTGGTTAATACTCATTTACTAGTCATTGTATATAATCTAGTCCAAAAGAAGGTCATTTGCAACCGGAACAGCTAGGTAGTGATGTCTCTGATTATGACAGTGGGTGGACTCAAACTGCACGAGGTATATCATTTCTTCAAGATTGCAAATACCTTTTGCTGTCAAGTGTCAACTCGGATAAAACCTGTGTTCAAACCATCAGCTAATATCTAAACACGATCCACATGATGTTGGGTCACTCAAACTAGTGGTCGGTCACATTGTAACTTGATTTATGAAATCTGACCAGAACTATAGTATAGGTAAACCACTGTGCAATCAATTGGCATGAAAAGTGAAGTGTCGTTGTAAATTTGATAGCTTGTGTTACACACTTTATCATTTTACATCTCAATAATATCACATATCTAAAGAAAAAGAGAACTACAAAAATGTGATGGTTATAATGATCTTAACATAATTTATCGAATATGATTCACTAAACTCATCCAAAAATGACAAAGACTCAAGGTATTGCCATTTTTTCTTTATCTAAATTTATCAAGAGATCAGGATATATGAGGATTACTTATTCCTGTAAATTTTTCGATATGAAAATCATAATATTTGTATGATAAAAAAAGAATGGATAGTTAGATTGGAATACTTTTTAAAATACATAGAATATTAGCCAGTTTAGTAAGGGGTAGGTCATACGCTTTATATATGATAATTGACTGACTGCACCATCACGGTTTATTAAAATGATATATTATTGTGTCACTATAATCCTATTATCTTTTAAATCAAACTAATCAGGGTGAAGATAATTCATTTTTGAAAGTATAGTTCCAGGTTAATCTGTCGTTTAACTTTAAAAACTGAATGACATTTTTTGGTATTTGTAAAGACCCGAAATTGTTTCATGTTAAAAATCACTAGTTAATAATTAAATTGATTCATTAACAGTTTCGTACAATTTAAAGAGAACATTATGATTTGATTATAAAAGGCTAAATTTAAACTGTCGAATTAATGATCTCAAAAGTTAAGACATCTAGTTTTATGACTCATGATCTCAACCATTGAAATTACTATATTATCCACAAAACTCCTTCTGATAGTAATCAACATGTGCTCACTAGTGACTGGCTTCAAGAGGTATATCCTGGAGTTCTAATGAGAAACAGTGACCAGTGGAGTTCAACTGTGTCTGTTGTGAGACAGTAACCCAATGAAGAAAATGGTGGATGTGTCGCTCAATTTCGTGGATTAGTTGAAGTTAGACATTAACACCGTTGGATGCCGGCCGACTCAGTGGTATAGTGGTTAAGCATTCGCGTGCGAGACTGTTAGGTGATGGATTCGCATCTCGCGACGAGAGGCGGTATCGTGGATGCGTAGTGCTGAGAATTCGCACAATAGGACGAAACGGCATGCAGTGTTTCTAGGTTTTCCATGGTGGTCCAGCTTCAGTTGACTCACGATCTCAGCCATTAAAATCACTATAATATCCACATAACCCCTTTTGATATCTAGTTTTATCTAGTAATAAGTAGTTATATGTGGACCGATGAATCCTTGAGATAATGAAGACTTTTTATGAGACTTCAAGTTTCATAGTAAGCTGACTGTATACTATTATCCGTCAATAATCCCAATCATTTACTTAGTCTATGAAAATGATAATTTTAATCAAATACTATAGTATGCCATTGGTTGTAAATTTCGATACATCGTTTATCGTTATAGGCGTGATATAGTTTTACCCAAACTCCACTAAACGTTTTAATAAATGCTTTTGTAATTGTTTTTTTACAGTCATGTGATTGTGTTGGATACAGTTTTGGGAGAGTCACATTCTTTCATACTTGGAACCAAGAAAAAAACATGAATTCTTTTTAGGGATCATAAAAATTAACACTTTTCCGTTTGTTTGTTTTTTATTAAGATCTTTTAAGGTCTTACTTCATTTTCTATTAAATTAACGTTTTAAAATTTATCCTGATAATAATCAATTCGTCTACATTCATTTTTTGTATGCCTAAAACTTGAACTGATTAAAAGATAACAGGTTTCTCTTGTAACGAAATCTCAGTCAGCGGTTTCATTCTATTTGATTGATATTTGAGTACATAGAGAGCCACAGTTCAACTTTATATCAATATATTTGAAAGAAATTTATAACATTCGACATGTAAATTGACTAGTGACTACATCGAATAGTAAAATGAATTGTCTGTTGTTGTTTTTTTTTTAATAATCCAATGAATAATTTGTGAAATGATTTGGTAATCATCTATTTGTTTACCTTCAAACTATGGATTAATCTACAATCATCATTCATAAAAGTTATTCTATACTTATTATCATAACAAATCAATGAACTGATTTTAATCATCAACTCAATATACTCATAGAGATACCAGTATAAAGATGTCATGTTTAAATATTATGAATAATTTCTGTAAAATTCAACTACAATCTATGCAAATCCATAAGATGTATTCAAATAATAATAATAATAATAATAATAATAATAATAATAATAATAATAATAATAATAATAGTAACAGTATTAACTACATTACTGAAACAAAAATCAATAAAAAGGAACAGGGACAAAAAATAGAATTTTAATTAATAATAATAATAACAGGTAAAATAATACAAACAAACAAAAAATTACCCAAATATACCTCATTGAATGGATTATCAATAGATGCATAATTAATAACAAATACTGGATTATTTGTTTCATTAAGTTTTGCACTCCATAAATAGCATACATAAGTAGCACCAATTAAAAATAATATCATGACTAAACATTTTAACGGTGAATTGATGAATGATGAGAATAACATTTCGAAAATTCTAAAATGATGAAATATTGAAAAATAAAGATAAATTATATTTGATTGTATTTGTTCTTTTTTGAAAAAAACAAACAATAATCAATCCAACATAAAAGAATACCTAAATGCTATGTGTCATATTACAGGCATCGGTGAATAAATCGATTGATAAAATCATTTATTAGTAATTTTAGCTAATCTATATCGGGTAGAGACAGGTATCTACCTCAATACAATGAAAGATGGTCGTACAATTTCGTGGATTGGTTGAGGTTAGACAATAACAGCGTTGGATGCTAGCTCAGTGGTCTAGATGTTAAGCGTTTGCGAGCGAGACCGAAGGCCTTGAATTCGAATAGCACATGAGGGATAGTGGATGTGCACTTCTGAGGAGTCCCATACTAGAATGAAATGGTCATCCAATGCATCCACATTTTCAATGGTGGTCTAACATCAATCGGTTCATAATCTCAATCAAAAAGTAATTTTAGTATTGACACATTTTGTATTTATGTTGATAAGGCTTATTAAACTGGTTCATCAGGTAATAAGTTGATATACATGCATTGTTTTACAAAACAAAAGATCATAAAGGTCGTAGTTACTATAAAGTCGTGTTTTATTTTATGAGATAAATATTATTTTATTAGGAAAGGATAAACGTGTATCTCAGTAATTTAATTGGATTTGTTTGATAAAACCATATTTTTAATATTATTGATAATCAGTTCCTGAATTTTATAGTTGATGCATAATATAGTCTTAATCTTCAGTCTTATATTGGTTAGTGAGGATATCCGTAATGCATTTAATGGTGAATTAATATGTTGCTACCCCGTCTTGAACCTTTCCAATGTTACGGTCAGAAGCCTCAATAAAGCAGGAGAATATGACGTGTGGTTAGCAACCACATATCGTAGAAAAGAACTTTACCAACAAAACACCAACCTTATAAAATCATTTCAGCCACTTCAACCCTCTTCGAAGTCGAATGATCTTCATATAGAACTTTTATAAGACCTCGTGACAAAAGCATAAATTCTTGGGAAGTAGCAATGCCGAGGCTTATCTTGACAACAAGAATAACAACCAACATAGTTACATGAAATGTCTGGACAAAGTGAGAAATCAAGTGAGTAGCTGCAGGAATAAGAAAATACAACCTGACCGTCTTTCAGGTAGGTGAAACTCGTTGGACACAGGCAGGAAAGAGAAGCTTAGTTTCTAGAGAAACGTTGTTAAATTCGTGTCATGAAGAATAAAATACGGAAAAACGTGCTAGCACTTGTAGTGAAGATGTCTGGGAAAATATAAAAATCGTTTATAGAGTGGGGGTTTCACCACTTCACGATTACCAAAGTATCCTTCAAAACAGAGAAGAAAAAGAGACTGAAACGAATGTCAGCCGGTTCAACAGGCTTATCAATGATAGAGAGCGAGAGTACAAAGACCAATTTTCTGGCTAGAGTTCATCGTCGGAAAGTGTTCAACGAGAAAGCTGACCGTTCCGATGGGAAACTTGAAAGGCGAGGCCACTGGCGGTGACGGACTGTGGGAGCATAAGAAACAGCCTTCAGATTGAGAGGAAATTACGATATGATGTTGGGGATGGATTAAAAACACTTTATTGCACCCATCAGACTGTATTACAAAGCAATCTCTAACCTGAAATATTCAAGTTAAAAAGTTAGGAAATAGACTGAACAACACGCGGAGCTGGTAATTGCACGCTGAGATGTAACAGATTTATGTAAGTAATTATCAGATATTTTATCCGGAGCTGTTGACCATTTTTCTACTTATTCACTGGCTAGATAGTTCAGAACTTCGCCTTCAGCCCTTCTAAAATTACTGCTAGTCCTAAGCCCGGAAGGAGGATTGGTCAAGTGGTCAGCATCTCCATCTAGCAGAAAACAACTCTAAGGAAAAAAGCGCTAACCAGAAAAAATTAATTCAGCCATTTAAACTGTGACCTGGAAATCGAAGGATCTCCATTTACAAGAATTGTGAAGCCTCATTGTGACAGTCGAGACTCTTTGAAAGTGACAATGAAGAGAGGTGCCGATATACTGCCACATCACTAGCTGGTTGTGGTCAAGATGAAACTGAAACTTATGAAACAACGAACGGTTGGGGAAACAGCATTAAAAAGGTTTAATACGGTCACCCATTCATATACTGACAAACTCATCGAATTCAAGATAACTCTCAACAACAATTTCGAAGTCATGCAAGATCTGCTGAAGGAAGAGAGAAAAGCTATTATGGAGGACAACTGGAAGGAAATCACAGAAGCACTGACTTCAATGTGTCAGGAGGGTCTAGGCTGCACGAAGCATCGTCATAAGGAATGGATCATCATGGAAAACCTAGACAGCATTCAAGAAAGGAAGAACAAGAAGACGGTAATTAGCAACAGTGGAACAAGAACAGAGAAACTGAAGGCACAAGCTGAATACACTGAAGCAGACAAGTAAGTGAAGAGGAGCATTCGAGCTGACAAGTAAAAGTACATGGGAGAGCAAGCAATGACAGCGGAAAATACTGCAAGAGAAGGAAATATGAAAGAACTATGTCAGACAACGAAGAAACTAGTAGGAAAATTTAGTAACCAAAAAGATCGGTAAAAGACAAAGAAGTCAAGACAATCACTGTGATTGAAAAGCAATTAGACAGGTGAGCAGAGCGATTTGCAGAACTCTTAAAAAGATCAGCACTACTGAACCTATTGGACATCGAAGCAGAACATACAGACCTTCTTATAGATGTCACTCCACCAACGATCGAAGAAATCAGGATGGCTATGAGACAGATCAAGAATGGGAAAGCAACAGGATCAGATGACATGCCAGATAAAGCACTGAAGTCAGACACAGGGGTAACTGCAAACATGCTTCACTTTCTAATCAAGAAGACTTGGGAGGATGAAGAAGTACCGACAGATTGGAAAGAAGAATAACAGGCATATTATTATGCTGAAAAAAGGAGATCACAGAAAGTGTGAGAAATACAGAGGCACCACACCATTATCGGTATAAGGACGAGTTTCCAACAGAGTATTGTTGAAGTGAATGAAAGACTTAGTAGACTCTCAACTTCGAGATCAATAGAGTGAATTTCGAAGGGATCGATCGTGTACAGACCGAATCACAACACTACGGATGATTGTTGAGCAATCAGTTGAGTGGAGTTTGTCACTATACTTCGGCTCTCTTGACTACGAGAAAGCGTTTGACAGTGTGTATAGGAGAATTTTATGGACCCTTACTCGACACTGTGGTGTACATAAGAACATTGTAGATATCATCGGGAATTCGCGCGACAGACTACACTGCGAAGTGGTGCATCTAGGACAACCGACAGATGCATTGGAAATGAGGACTGGTGTCAGACAAAGCTGTCTGCTCCCCCCCTTTCTTTTTCTTCTGGTGGTTGATTGAATTATGAAGACCTACACATTTCAGCTGAAGCACGGAATACAATGATCAACTTGGATGAATCTAGATGGATGGACTTGACAGTTGATCCAATTTTTCTATTCCAAACACACCAACAAATTCAGGTTAAGACAACTAGTGTAGCGGCAGCTTCTGTAGCAGTAAGCCTCAGCATACACGAAGGAATAAATGAGTTCCTCAAATACATCACAGAGGACAGAAACCCAGTCACACATGATGGAAAAGCTCTGACATATGTGGAATCTTTCATGTATCTGGTCAACAGTATAATCTATGAAGGAGGAAGATCGGATGCAGGCGTAAAGACGAGGATTGGCAAATCAGTGGCAGCATTCCTACATTTGAAGAACATATGGAACTCAAAACAACTGTCAACCACTAGTCTTTCAATCTACCGTCTGCTATACTTACATTGGTTCATAAAATAAATTTATTATGCAAAAGTAAATAATGTTAATCTACAAGTCGCTTGAAGTCGAATTTCGTAGAATTATTAAAATGCATTTGAATTGTATTGAGCATTATCGGTGTACATCATACGTAAAAATGAACCCAAGGGTTCCAAAATCTAGCAGTTGAATTTCTTGTCATTCGCTGACATAAGCATCTGCTGTTGAGCTATTGTAATCATTACGAGTAATCAAGTAATAGCTGGGTAAAAATTTATCATCCTTTCCTGAATCTATTGACATAAAAAATGATGTCAAAGTCAATATATATGTATATATCGTTGAGAGGTTTAGTGACATTACTATAATGTTATGATAACTTTCGTCAAAGGTTAACCCCACTTTGAATACTACTCAAATGAAAGAGCACCGGGCAGATTTCCCTTCCCAGTTTGCTATTCTTTGGTTTCCAAGTTCTGCATATTTCACGCATATATTTTTAAAAAATTTTTATTTCTCTATCTCTTTCTTAATTTTCCTGGTCTTACACCTCGTGAGTTTGTTTTCAGTTGTAATTACATCATTAGTAACAGTTAATTCTTTTACTTTTAGCCAGTCTAACTGATGAACATTTTACTGTAATAACAGATATGTGATAATAATTATAAAGTTCTGATACTGGTGAGCACGAATATCCGAAACACATTTCGTTGTAGTGGATTACAAATTAAATCACAATACCTATGATGAATCGAATGATAAAAATCAATATAGTGTATCAGAGTCTACAAAAAACGTTTAATACAAAGCCATGATTCGGCTTTACAAAGTGTCTTCTAACTACAAATAACTGTCAGATCTATCCACACTTTAAGAAATATGATAAAATTTCTCGAAGAGATATAGCCTGATATTAAGAAGTATTATTGAAGCATTATCAAAAAATGTTTTGGTGCTAGAAATTATCTAGTGAAGATATAAAGACTTGCTTTTTCAATCAAATAGTTTGTTATGAATCTGTGAAATAACGTAGTAAACTAATCACACTACTCTAAGTTACCCACCTTTTCTTACATCAAGTTCAAAAACCATTCTTATCAAGCTATGATAAACATAGTTTATTCACTCGCAATTACCACCAGAGGTCAATAACAAATATAAGGCATTGAAAC